GTTGAGCATCACTCCGGTTATAGCATGCCTATAGGTACTTACTACGAGGCAGCAGTAACGATGATGCTTGAGATATCACCGAGGGATTTCCTAATTCCTTGGCCCAGTCATAATGTAGAGTCAAGACACCTGTTTGCTAGCAAGGACTCGAAATGCACTGCTGGCGAACACGGTGGTAACGGTCTCGCTGAGGTGATGGCAAATGCCCTTGTATGGGCCGCTAACCTCGTCCCATTAGGTTCATGGAGAGATAGCTTATATCGATACGAGAGCCAGGGTTGATCCATCAGCTAGGCTCCACCAATGCTATATTGCCCCTGGAGGTAGTAGAGAGTTGTTGAGTAGTATGATGTGGAGCCCAGTCACTCTCGTGTAGCTACAATAGGAGCAGGAGTAGAACTGGAAAGTAGCATAATAGGGCCTGATGTCGTTGTGGAGGCAGGGGCATCCATCAGAAAGTAGCTTATCACTGACATCATCTTCGTGTGATAGTACCACACAGATGCATCATCCATGCTCGATCGACTGTATCACCATCGACGAGCGTAGAATGTGTAGTAATCCCACCAAATGGCAGTATTATTGCATCGAACAAGGCCCATCCAGTAGATGGTGTCACCATTGGGACTCCATTGCCGGATACAGCTCAGGCACTTGCTAAGATAAAGGTACTCTCGGCTCTTTTGGGGATTTAGAAATTATAGTGTTGTGTCAGAGGCTCAACATCACTGATAATATTATTGTTGTTTGTAGGCCGTTAGGGTATCAAGGGAGGGATTTATAAGCACCGAAGAGCCCACTGAGGAGGAGGATATAGCCAATTCATCATGTGGGACCGACAAAGCATTCAAGAAGGGCTTCAGGGCTGAGGTAACAGTACCGTTATCACGCAGGACTACCACCACACCCCTATCATAGGTGTATGCCTTCTTCAAGGAAGGGTGGTATGAGAAGCAAGATGTATCACACGTGTGTCAACAGCTCAGGATATACCGGACAACAGAGCAGGTAGTAGGCAGGGCACACGGATAAGGAAGGTGGTATCTAGTCCTCTCCAGGCCCCTCTATCAGAGCTATTGATAGCTACTGTGTTGGCCCTTGCACGGGTGTGCTGTGAGGTCCTTGTTAGTGATAGTAGTAAGCCAAAACAGCCTGTAGTGGCGTCATTCTATGAGTATTGGGATGATGCCTTGGAAGAGCTGTGAGTTGGGCTAACGCTGTTATACCATCTCCAAATGTGTTATTGTGTAGTTACTTGACGGATCAGACAGGCCTCTCTAAATGGTGGATAGAGGCTTTGGATAATCTCTGTGCATCCTGTCCACAGTATGGTCAGGACTTTGAGAAGGAGTGCTGTCTCTTTATATGGGTACTCTCATCATTAGTATTGACAACGACATTGTTGAGGGCAACTGTTGTATCTCAGGGGATGTACGCCAATGATTACTTAAGCAAAGAGGACCTCTTAGCATGGTGGAGCCGTGCCCCCGGTAGGTATTCTATGACCAGTAGTATCTCCTTTCACTGTCCCTCTGCAGATACATATCGACAGTTGCCCTTAATGGCGCAGTTGATTGGACAGATTGAGGAGCAATCCGACGATGATGATAGTGATGATGATTCGGAGGACGATAGCGACTCGGAGTAGCGTGCTTTCTGTCCCCTTGCCCCTACGACCACCGGATAGTTTCACTGTGTTCCTGCTGCCGATATTGCTGTGTTATAGCTGTGGGTAAGCCTTCCATACTGTAGGTCGGGAGTCAGATCACCCGTCGACATTAGAGTCGAGACTCTCTCGGCAATGCTCTCCCAGTCTTTGTTATACTCCCTTCCTTGTTTCCTATGGGGCTCGGCAGTGGGTCAGCGGTATCTAACAAACTATCTATCTTCGGTGCAACAGCCAATCTGGTTATGACATCTATTGGTGTTGGTATTCTCGGTCTCCCTCAAGTAATGGAGCAAGCTGGTTGGATAGGCGGGTATATACTTCTGGCCATCGCGGCACTTGCATCATTATGGATGGCAAAGCACTTGACTGATGCATGTGTGAGATACTCTAAGAACGGTGAATATCCATCCTACCAGCAACTTGGTGAACTCACCTATGGTGGATGGGGTCGTGCAGCTGTCATCATAAGCACTGATGTTTTCATGCTCGGTTTGTGTGTTATCCTATTGGTCCTTTTCGCTGATAACACAATGCGGA